TTTTGGATGGCAGCCCTCCCTTAGGTGGGCCCCACTTTCACCCCCCCCCCCCCGCATCACATTTAAAAGAACTAATAATCCTGAAGATTAGAAGAGAAGAATCTGCCATTTTATAGCGTAATGTGGCACAGGAAATAACCTGCAAAACTGGAAAAGGATTAACATGCAAAGCTATCTTCAGATTGCATGAGACAATTGCCCAATATATCACCCAGTATTGGGGGCTCCTGTGTCCAGACCTTGTTGAGACACAGAAGGCCTTAATACTGGGTTATATATGGGGCAAGCATGTGATGTTATTTCTAGGCTTCTTATGAGAGTTTGCTTTCCTGGAGGTGCCATGTTCCAGAAGACCATAGCATAGCAAACGCATGCATTTCGACTGAGCTGCAGCCCTCTAAATAATTGCTTGCAAGATAGAATTTAAACTCTGCAGGGCTCCTCTGCACACAGCATTTCCCCTAGATGAGCAACCTGTTTACTTCTCTGGGATCACAAACGCTGCATATCTCTACTGGAGGGAAAAAATGGTGTGTGTTGGTGTCCACTGAATTGCTAGGGCATAACTCTGTTTTCAGTCTTAACTTGTTCCTTGGTGTGCAAAGGCATGCACTCATGTTTAATAAAGCACAGAGCCTACTTAACCAACCAGTTCATCTGGACTGGCGACTCTAAACTCTCTGGAACTTGTGATGAAAATTGTGAGAAATTTGAATAAGAGGAGCCAAGAACTACTAACAACATCTGAGTTTGCTTTCACCTCCTCTGAGATAAAAAGCTTTGTAAATAATGCTGAACCTAACATATCTCATTATAAAAACCTGGTGAGTGATGATTTGTCCCCCACAACTTGTTACGATGGATTATTGTAAACTTTGTTAATATGGGGGTTGAAGATCAAGCACTGAGGCTTGATAATTTGCCTTCTAGGAAGAAACAGATCAGTCTATTTCTGGTCAGTGTCATTTTATGGTGGTGATAATGATAATGATGATTCCCCTTGCTACCTTAAGAAATACTCTGGAATTCGTTGAGTACATTGATAGAAGCTGGCATTTCATAAGAAGAATTCAGGGATATATCACAACACACTTTGACTGATCAAATAAGCCCTTTTCTTTCTGTAGTCTAGATTCATATTGTAAACCTGTCCAAGAATTCATCCATTTTGGAGCTAGACAAAGGTGGAAGCCCTTTCCATTACAGTGGAATGGGTGGCAGAGGGAGCTAGACCCATATTGAAATCCTAGGGATTAATCTCACCCTCTGATTTAGCCTAATGGTCTTTCAAAGTGCCAAGCAGTTGAATTTGAAGGGAGAAGTTTGGAGTGTGCATTGAAGTGCATGTAACATCTGTCAGAAAATACCTCGTAGGCTCTCAACTATGACTTTACTTGAGTTGGACTATTGTTCCCATTGTTTACTCTTATTCTGAGCAGTGTTTTGGCACAAAGGGAGCTGTAGTGCAACATTTGGGTATCCAAGGTTGGAAAAGACTCTACTAAAATTGTGTCCATTCCACCATCTGCACTAAACTGAGGTCCTTGAATGCCAGAATCAATCAATCAATCAATCAATCAATCAATCAATCAATCTATATCTACCTACCTACCTACCTACCTACCTT